AGAACAATCTGTCAATTCTATCAACCAGACCCTCCATAGAGTGACCAACTTTCATAATGAACCAATAATCATCCAAGGGATAAGAAATCATGGCAAACTAGGTTAACATTGTGCCCATGAAATAAGCTTATAATCAGAAACAAAGGGATCAAAATTTCAGAAGCCCTAAATCAAGGGATAAAACTATTATCCTTTAGTATCTTTTCTCTCCAAAAGAATGCTTTACCCACATAATTCCAACAAAGCTGTTGCTTGAACATAAATAAAAGTTTGTGAATGCCTTCAGTGCATACTCTGTGTGACAGAATATGTTGGGATGAATTTTAAAAGGAACTATCCATATCTTGCGGGGTGGGGGGGGGGGGGGGAATTCTAGTCCTTCGACATTCATTAAGTGATTTAATTTAGTGGAAACCTAGATCCCTAATTTCTGTTTCCAAGTATTCCTTGATATGAATCAATGAGGTGTAGAATAACTGTGCATGAGTAATACTAGAGAAATTTCTAAAACCCATTCAAAGAAAAGTTGAGAACTTGGGTTGCTTTTAAGTTTTAATTGTCGAAATATCAAATCAGACACATTATTTTCCAAGGCATGTGATTTGAAACATATTCTTGAGATAAAAAATATATTCTTGAGTAAAAACCCTTTCATTGAAAAAATATAAAAAATTATAAGGGCTTCCATACTACTCCAACTAGAATTCTGAAATTATTTCCTTTTCTTTCTCAATTAAGATTATGATTCAATTGTTCTCGGTAATGTGACTGTATGCATTGTAAGAATCGGGAGGAAAAAAAGTAGAAAAATTCATTTGGTATATCCAATTAAGTAACGAAAACATGCATATAATTAATTCATCACTTCCATATTTAGATCAATAACCAGGCCAAAGGTACTCTCCGTCACAGGTCAGTCTACATATGAAGAATTGCCGAATTCCTCACAACAGGGAAAATGGATATATAAATGTACAGTATATATGTGTTTTATAAATGTAAAAAACGGGGCATAAGTAACTAGATGTGTACGCAGACATGCTTCAATTAGTCATATGTGCGCCTCACCGTTCCAGAACAGTAAAATAATAGCAACAAAACACTAAAAAAATTTCAAACTAAAAACTCCACTTACCATTGTCAATACAGCTACAAAACGGTAAAAATAAGAACATGCTAAAACAATGTGTATATAATCCCACTCACAATCCCACACTTAACAAACGAAGCGATTTGAGAACAACAGCATATTATTGTTAATTATTGGTGAACAAGTATGGTATCACCTTTAAACACTTCCTATTCAAGAAAACAAAGCAGAAACCCTAGACTGCTCGAAACCCATCCACCATTTCCAGAATGGTTACAAGATAAATTTATAAAGCTAATCAGCCATTTTCTTAGCTAACAGTGATCTAGCTGAAGAGTATAAAGAAAATTCAGAGTGAGATGTACCGTAGAGTGCAAGATTTTGCGGCGATCTGAGAAAAGGGGCTTCGGAATTTCGCGGGAACCCAAGCCTACGAGTTGACAAAATAAGAAAATGAATAAAAAATGAAAATAAAAAACAGGCGTTGAGGGAGAAACAGAGATGTTAGACTCACCAGGACAGTGACGAGATTTAACAGCCACACGGAGCCTGTTTATATCGAAAATTTGGAAAAACAACTAGACAAGCACTGAAATTTTCGGGGTGAAATTACATGATAAGGTATATTAAAAAATTGGTAATGACGAAAGCACATATGCAATTTTTAATTTATTTTTTTTCTCTCAAAATTAGGAAATACGAAATTAAGCATCATAGGGTTTGCTTTTGTCATTTCTGGCTGTGTAAAAAAAATAATAACAGATTTCTAATAAAAATCAAATAATTTTTTAAAAATTTATTTGTTAATTATATGTAATATAAGTATGAAAGAAAAATATCTTTTGGAATTAGTATGATATTTTGAATTATGAGAAAATAATAATATTTTGATGTGCCAACTAAATCGTTTAAGAATTGAATATTTTTTATTAATTTATTTTAGTTATCAAAAAAAATTATTTTCTGAGTTCCTAACATATCGAGAAAAATTTACTTTATATATAATAATTTTTCTTTTTATTTTTAATCAAAAACCAAATCACAGCTTAACAAATTCATATTTGTTTATAGTAACAAACTTTAAATTTATTATCTTTTGTTACTAAATATATGTCAGTCAATGTTATATATATATATATATATATATATGTCAGTCACTCTTAACCTTTTTTTGGATTAATGTGTTATTGGTCATTTGCAATTTTAAGAGTACATCTCCACGTTAATTTAATGCAATCGAATTAAACAACTCTTCTATATTAAGATTTGATTCGGAGGAGCATCTTCTTAATTAATAGATCAATTTAACAGGTTATCTTTTTTACTTTAGGTATAGTTATTTCACGGGGATTCCAAACTTGTTATTGGATATTATGTTTTATATCAACGGGATCATATCATTAGCACATACAAATTAACTCCTTAGTATACTATACAAGATATCATAATTATAAATGCATCAAGACAGATAACAATGTAAATGGGCGGAACTCATGGGAAGTAAGTTGAACACTTTAATTGATGTAGGCTTGAAAAGAAAAATGAAAACAATTATACTTGAGCTTAACTCTTTTATTTGAATGGGTTAAATTAACAAATATTTTAAATTATAAAAGTTGAATTTGGTTTATTTAAATCATTTATAAGTTAATTTTTTTTTTTAATTTTAAATATCATATTGAAATATTTTAGATTTATTAATTTGATATCATAAAAAAATTATGCTATATTACAAAATTAAAAAATAATAAATGAAGATGTTATTATAATTCATTAAATAGAATTAAAATTTATTAAATGATTTAAATATATAAAAAAAATTATTATTATTATTATTATTATCTATATGGTAAGTCTTGGAGGTAAGGTTGTTTTTTTATTATTGGAAGCTCAAGGGTTCAAGTTTAGCATTGGAATGTGTAGCTACCAATATTAATTTAAATTTAGGAAGGAAATTCCAACACCCTTTATTATTATTATTTTGGGATTAGTTATTCTACCTACTTTTTTTTGCCTATATTTGTTTATCATTCTCCAACACTATTAGATCAGAATAGCTAGATATTAATAGGAGAGATAAATGATAAAGGTAGTTGAAATTTTGATCTAACGATATTGGAGAGTGATAAGTAAAAGTAGACAAAAAAATATATAGGTAAAATAATATATCCCTATTATTATTATTTTTTTTATTATTATTATTATTATTTTGGAAATACAATGAAACTAAAGCAACATCAAAAAAAGCCCTATACTGGGCACAATCTTAGGAGACTAACTCCTCTCAAGTCATTACGAAGCAATTCCAAACAAGTCGTTGGAGGGACATCCAGCACAATCAATTGTCCATCCTTATGAGGTGCATGAGTAGCAAGCCAATCAGCAACAAAATTGCCTTCTCTGTAAGTATGACTACGCTGAATAATCCAGTCTCTTTGAAGCATGCTACGAGCTCGGATGATTAAAGCAGAAAGAGGAAGACTTACGTCACACCCTTTTCTTATAAATTCCAAAGCCATCTTGGAGTCACCCTCCACAAAGACTCTCCTAAATCCCTTATGCCAAGCCAGATCCATACCTGTCAAAAAACCCCAAATTTCCGCTGAAGTGGAAGTACCACTCCCAAGAAATTTTGTAAAACCAGTTCCCAGCAGCATCCCTTATGACTCCACCACATGCAGTCCTTTGCCCACTGTCTATGCTGGAACCATCCACATTAAGTTTACCATAACCCTCAGAGGAAAAATTCCAGTGAATAAGACGTTCCTCTCTTCTAAGCTCCTGATGACTAATCTTAATAAGGGTTTCATTAGCCAATTGAATATTACCACAAGTGTAGGTAATGCGCCTAATGAGACCATACTTTGATGTGCTAGTTTGATCAAAGATCGCCTTATTTCTTTCCCTCCACAAACACCAAGCTATCACCCCAAAATACAAAGGCCAAGTTCGATCAGTTTGAAACGGACCTTTTAATCCTAGATTTGTCTGAATTCATAAGTGAAAATCCATGGAGAAAAAGTCACTACGGTTTAAAACTGAGTAGGTTAGATCACCGCTCAAAGTAATTAAATTAAAATAAATTAGTGAATAGTTGTTTTTGGCCTATGAGCACGAGAAGTTTCCGGCAGCTGGGTTTAAATAATGGTTTCTACAACATAGCAGTTGTTAAGTATCACAACTCATTATAGCTGGGGTTGAGAATGCAATCGCTGATGATAATTCAATTCAGATTCTCAATTAAGGACATTCAATTAAGATATTCAAAAGACATGTCTCAAAGAAGCGCCTAAAATTTGATGAAGGGGCCTATAAGGAAGAATTCAAGAATAAACTGATGCGGCACTTAAAGAAAGATGAAAATAGATTAGATGGTCCTTAACTACTTGAATGGTTTACATTTTCTCTTTTAAGTTTTAAACAGATTTTGATAGTTTTTATTCGTTTGGCTTTTGATTTTTATTAATTTCTTATAAGTTTCTATAGTTTTATAACCATCTCTATAGTGCGGCAAAACTGCTTATGCAAAGTAAACAATACCTCGGAATGAAATATTGTAACCATTACATCTTCGTTGATACTGTCTTCGAAAAGCAATTTATAAATAGCGCGCAACGCTTCAACTACATTCAGAAATCTGTATGGTCGATTACAAGCCAAAGGCGCTAGAGTTGCAGAGCACACGACAAAATAGACAGAAATCAGTTTAGACAATACAGCCAATAATAAAACCTCGGATTATTCTGAAAGAAGAATCTGTACGGTCCAACCCTTCCGCAATTCAACCAGAACCATTACACATGACTTTCCATTCCGACTACAGATTTGGTTAACATGTTCAGAATTGAAACTGTCCTGGTAATAAGCAACAAGATTGAAACACGGGGCGTGATCACAAGAAACAGAAGGCCACAAACTAAAGGAATCATCATAAATTATTATTGAAGCACTAAACTGAAGTGATTTACAAAGAACTCAAAGCTAACAAAACCAGCTAAGGTTTCAGTTACAGTTCATGCAAGGATGAAATGTTACAAGTAAACAACAACAACCATTTTTTGGCAGAAGTGTACACGAGTAAAAAAAGAAAAAGAAAAAAAACTCACACTTAGACTTACTCTACAACAAATTATACTTTTATCTTTCAATTAGTCTGTCCATTCTCAACACCTAAACCATACAAAACACCAGCATATTTCTCAGTAGAGCCGTTGAAGAATGCGTCCCTCAACTTTCTAAATGTACAAGAAGTGAGTAAACTATCAGATCCAGCCTGATGGCACACACCAATCCTCTCCACTTCCAACAATTCCGCAAGCTTGTTCAACCCACCATGGAGGTTGTTGCAGAACTTCATCAAATGCTTGATATCATACACCATTGGGAAATACATCTTGATCAAATCAAAGAACCCAGCTTGAGTATCGGGCAAGGTTCGGCATGTCAACAGCTTAAGGAGGTAACCAAAATCATAACCACTGTGAAATGTTACCCAATGTATACCATCGTTCAACACAATCCCAGATGACATGAGAAGCTCCCCAAATCGGTTCACATCAATCCCCTTCTCGCTGTTCTTCTTGAAGTCAATTCCGCATTGGCGCAATAACTCGATAGAATCGCTCGCGAAGATGTCTTCGCTGATGTTGAACTCCCGGAAGTTGAATTGCCAGATGCAGAAATTTTCAGTGCCACAAGTAGGGAGATTTCCGTGCTCATCACAGAAGGTGAGACCCAATTGGATCAGCTTCAACATGTCAACGTTGTCCTTCAAAGTTTGATAGTTATAGTCATTGATGTTTTTGAAGTTACCCACAGGGCGAAGAACCACCCCTGGGAACTCAGTGTCCATGGCTACATAGTTAAATTCGTCAACGATTTCACGGATCAACGCAAACTCCTCTTCTAGATTATCGTTCCAAACCTCCCTGATTTGAACCGAATCCCCTTTCGGTAAAATCGACATTTCCGATGAACAAAACCGAAATCCACAATCAAACCCCCCAGATCTGCAAACAAAAGACGCCCAAACCGTTCAGATCTCAAAACCTAACAAATCCTGAAACAAATCTACAAGCACACAGAGTCCTGAAACCTGAAGAGGATTTCAGTGAGTGGAGCTCCGAATCACAGGTGTGAGGTCGAGATTCAACTAGATCTGAAACAAATCGAAGCATAGAAGAACCGTTAAAGAGCCAGGACTACTTCTGAGAATTTAGAACTGAACAAGGGTTGGAAATGGAACACCAGAACGAGAACTAGTTAAGAGTAAGGAATCTAACCTTGCAGTGGCCAAAACGAAGCTTGAGTTTCACCGATCTCAAAGTTAGGACCACATGATTTTGCTTCGGTGAAGAGAGATTTGCAGGTCAACGAAGCAGGATTGGCGAGCGATGAAGGCGAAGAGACAGGAACTTGAGGGCGAGGGTTGAGACCTGATTTGTACTGGGCGTGAGGTGTGGGGTCGTTTTGGTTGGCAACAACTGCACGGAAGATGTCGTTTACATTTGTGCTCTCGCAATTCGGGATGCGACAATAAAATAGCAGTCGTTAACATCTGTCCGTAACTATAAATCACCGACCTTCTTTATTTTATTAGTATTATTTTGGGTGACGAATTCTGGATTGGTATGCTTTGCAATTATATTCAATCATTTACCAATAAAAAATACAATTCAAATATATTTATATAATAATCCTTAATTTTCAATTCCACTGGCTTTGCAATCGTGCTGTGTTATGTATGAGATTTTTCAATAATTTTACAAATCATAGAGTCATAAGTGATAAGAAAAAATTCACAGGAACATAAATAATTTTAAAACAAATCACAGAGGGACCGGTAAACTTTTCTCAAAAATTAAACCAATATAATGTTAGAGTTAATTGAATCCTTTTTTGTTCAAATCGATATTAATAAATGAACTGGTTGTATATAGGTATAAAATTATTTTATCATAATATTAGTTGGGTAAATGATTGGGCATACATTATAAAATTAGTTTATTAAATTATTTTTGTCCAGAAAATTATACGTTATATACTTTGTCGAATAAATATGATGTTATATTATTGAGAAAATGATTTATGCTTTAAAAGCATAAATTATTGTCTGCCATGCTTCAAATAATTTATGCTTTCTCTCTCTACTATTATTTCTCTACAGTCGAGACAACGTTTTTGTTTTTTAAGCAAAAATCATTTTCCCTATATTATTATAAAGGAATGTTATAAAAGAAGCTAGATTTGGAGGGAAAACTGGATAAATCATGTCTTCCGGTGAAAAATCTGCATGAACAAATATCTTTAATACAGTGATATGACATAATTGCACGTTAAACAATAATGTATAATTTTTTATTTTTTATATTAAAATATTTAGAATTTAATTATTTTTTCAACTATTTAAGTATGTTTATAATTTTTTTAATATAAATTATAGATTTACATATAATCATCGAGTCATGCAGTTCATCCAATGACTTGATACCTTGATCGGATCAACGACCGAATCGATTTTAATAACATTAATATGTCATTTTATATGACATAAAGTTATATTATTTTAAATTAAAAAAAAAACATAAATAATAAAAATTATAAGAGAGAAAATGAATGTTTTTTTTATAATTTAAAATTTAAATAAAAAATATTAAGTTATGCATTTTTCTAAATTAAAATGACATAATTCTATATCATTTAAAATTAAGAGAATGGTTAACATCTTTTAATATTCTATTTCACATATGTTTTATCTATGTTCTATTTTACTCAAATTATCAAAGTTGTGCGACAAATTTGTGTAGTCAAAAAATTTCGGCAACCATCTTGCCTTATCCGGTTTATAAATCAAACATATTAATATTTATCCGAATTTACTGGAAAAACAGTCATTGCTTTTAGTTAGCCGTACTAAATGACAGGTAATGCCACAAAATCAATCGCGTTCTTGTAACTAAATCGCTTTTTCAATTCTAATAACTATATTACTAACTACGGGTTATTGCCACCATTTATTGTGCAACTGTCCTTAGAAAGTATAAACTATAGGTTACAATCATCAAGAAGTGAAACATTTCTCAACCTAATCGCCACATTCTTAGATAAAATTATACTTGGAAGTTCTTAATAATGTTTATATAACTGGGTCTCTTTCAAAGACCAAGTCATTGCCCGGGCGTCAAGTGAATTGAATGTGAATCAATAATGATGCAAGTGGATTTGATATCAATTTATGATTCAATAACTCCAGTCCACATCATATACGGTCCAAAATGGCAGGCAAAAGCAAACAGTCCAATATGAACGCCATTACCATTTCATATAATTGCCGTGACCCAGTAATCGATAAGGTTGACTAACCTGATTAGAAGTAAAACGACAATATATGATATTAAAAATATACTATATACAATATATATATATATATATATATATATATATATATATATTGAGGAAGGTTATACTTACAACCTATTTTCGTTTACAATCTCTTACAACTATATCTTATTAATCGTTGATTTCTGCAAATCAATAGTTATAATTTATTATGAATTAATAATTAATAAATAATTTTATTTGCAAAAATCTTAACCGTTAATTGACGAAAATCTAGGGGTGAAACTGGGCCGGGCCGGCCTACAGGGGCCTACGGCTCGGCCTACATCAAGCCAGATCTGACCTAGTATATTTTGTATAATAGGCCGGGCTTGAGCCTTAAAAAAGCCTGTTTAATAAAAAGGACGTAGGCCCACATTCAAAATGTCGGGCCTATAAGCCCACAGGCTAACCTATATTGTACTATTTATTTTAAATAAAATAAAATAGAGTAAGTATGTCTTGAAGAAAAAACAAAAGATATAAATTTAATCAATTGCAATCATTTATAACTTAATTATATTTGATTATATTTTAATAGAAATCTCATTTTATTTCTTATATAAGAGGAACCAACATCTCAACATGTTAGATTGTATATATGAATATATTAAAAGATTTTTGAGAGAGTTATACTTACTACAAGCATCATGATTTGTTTGTTGGATTCATGTAGTTATTTTAATTTACATAGTATGAATTTGTTTATTGGATCTGATGAAATATATGTTATTTAGTTTGAGCATTTTGCTTTCGAAAATGACTTAAGTGCATATTGTATGAGTTTTGTTATAATTCATGATTTTGTTTGAACGTTGAAATTATGATTTTTGGTGTAGCAACTGAATTTGAGTACTTTGTAAAGTTGATTCATGGTTCTGCTTGGAAGTTAAAAATTAACAGGCTAACGGGTCAAGCCAGGCCATTTGTTTTTTTATAAACGGGTCAAACCAAGCTAACAGTTAGACTCATACTAGGATTGGGCCAGGCCAAATTGAAATTTTTTTACGTAGGCTTGGGCTTTTCGGGGCAAAGCTTGGCCCAGCTCAGCCCACTTTCACCCCTAGTTGTAAGAGGTTGTAAACGAAAATAGGTTGTAAGTATAACATTTCCCAATTTATAATATATGAGTAAAATAAAAATAGGAAGGTTATAGTTACAACTTTTTTTTTTACAACATCTTACAACCATATATCATAACCGTTGATTTCCGCCAATCAACAGTTGTCATTTATTATTAATTAATAATTAATTAATGAGTTTATATCATGAAATAAATTATCTATTTTTAATACTTTATATAGGCTTGAATCTTATATAATGATCGTAGGTGAATGCATGACAATAGGAATGTTGGTCAACCTTCCTCTATTTGCGAAAATCAACGGTTATGGTATATGGTTGTAAGAGGTTGTAAAAAAAAAGTTGTAACTATAACCTTCTTCATATATATATATATAGAACAGAATCATTTGACACTGATATCAAATTTTAAAATTTAACACTAAATTTTAACCGTTGATTTTCATAAATCAATGGTCATAATTTTAGTCAATAAAACTCATTAATTAATTATTAATTCTCAGTAAATAAAATCATTGATTGACGAAAATCAACGATTAAAATTTGGTGTCAAATTTCAAAATTTGACACCCGTGTCAAAAGATTATATATATATACCCGAGAGTGACAACTTGTTTGAAATTGTAAAAACTTATATTAAATATTTAACATGTAAAATTATTGAATAACACATAAATTTATTAAAAAATATTAAATTATTTGTGTATAACTTTTTAGGTAAATAATATTGGGGTCTATTAATCTCATGTGGCATGAGATAATTATCTCATGCAACAGGGATAAGATTGTGGCATCCATTACTTTTTAAAAAAAAAAGAAAAAATAGTGGACTCTATTTTTTTTATCTCTGTTGCATGGGATAATTATCCCATGCAACATGAGACAATTATTTTTGGTTTTTTGACCATTATAACCTTTTTTTAATAATTAGTTACCAAATTGACCTGATTTATAAACTATTTCAAAAATTTAATCTCTCCAGAAAATATAACACTAATTTTCCCCTGTTTGACCGTTGACCTTGAAGCCTACCCGGGTATATTTTGAAAATTTTGACCTACCCGGATACACCACTCCCTACCCGGGTATATTTCTTGAATCTAAAAAAATGTTTGAATTATTTACCCGGGTAAATAATCATACCTTTTTTTGCAGTTTCTACTTTCTACATGTACCGGCCTTAGTTTGGTTTCTGAGAAATTTCAAATAGCATGCATTTTGAAACACAAAAGTGTTGGGCTGATGCAACATCTAAAGTAATATTGATTAAGTCAACCAAATATTTATATTGTGATTCATGAATTCATGATCATGGTTTTCACTATTCCAGATGTAGGTAAGTGAAATTGTAGAAAACTTTTCTGTTGATACATATGAGAAGAAAACAAACCATCTAATATTCAGTAGACATGAAACGTGCTACCAAGATTAAGATCACCCACAAATGGACAAACCTATTTTTCTTGTCAAAGTTTACAATAAAAAAATATAATACCTTATCAGTAAGGGCAATGATACAAGCTGTTGATGAACCCTTGGCCTTTGTACTTGAGTGAGCCTTCTCTAACACCCTTACTGTCAAAGTTTACAAAATTCAGAGGACCATACAAAGGTTGTGGTCTTCTTAGATTCACACTAGCTCTCAGGCAACCTTTATGAGTTCTATCTTTGAAATACACACCAGAAGGTTTTGTGAAAAAATTCGTGCAGAAGCAGAATTTCAAAAAAGAAATAATAACAATCACATATTGGTCATGCGAAACGGAGGAATTTGCAAGTTGCTTATCAGGAGTGCAGCCATCAAATGAGACATCATGTGCAGCCCCAACTGAACAACAAGCAGAAGAAGGGGTAGAGAAATTCTTCAGCCATGGTCCATGAAAAGAGGAACATCCAAAATTCAGAGGATCATACAAAGGTTGTGGTCTTCTTAGATTCACACTAGCTCTCAGGCAACCTTTATGAGTTCTATCTTTGAAGTACACA